AAAATTTTATTTCAGTTTTTACTCACGGTAGATCAGCTTAGGACACGTCCTTACCCAACCGTCGCTCGAAAAAGTCCATGTTACTCAATCCACCATTCTTCAGGGCTCAGTCCTCACTTTAAAAACAATAACATGTAGTTCAGGTCCGCACAACCGGAAAGTTTACATCAGAGATATGCGTTTTGTTAATCGTAGTTTCTAGGTAGTAATTTAAACTTTAGCAAATACTTTCATGCTGCTGATGTCATAGTGTTCACCTGAATTTAACACTTCGGATTAACGATAATAAAGCCCAAACAATATCTTAACGAACCACAAACAGCAATTTTGACTGGAAAGTAGGAACAAAGATCTTGATAGAATACCAGTCTAAATGGGTCAGCTAAAAATCGATTACCATAAAGTTTAGCTTCACCATCGCTCTCACAGGCCTGATATATAATTGCTTGACTCGTTATCGGTGCCTCAAAATCGCAGACACGACTTCTCTCTCGCTTCGGTATGGAATAATCCGGAAGGTTCTACTTTCGAATTTAAGGGCCAGTTCAGTAATAATTTTCCGCAAGCACCTTAGGCACTAGTGGACAGAATGACATACTTCTCTAACATTTTATGTAGCGAGTAAAAACCCATGTGCTTTAGCCATTAGTTCAGCTCCCTCATACCGCTGATCCTAGATGTTAAGGTCCGCTGGACGGACCGAATCGACACTTCAGCGAACTCGCCTGCGAGCTCGAAACTCTGGCACTCGTAAATCCTTCAATAATGAACGGATTTTATTCAAATTTGAAATATAAGTGGAAAATATCAGTAATTTGCGGACGGAATTTTTTCTGATTTTTACATCAATGTCGGACCGGTAGCCACACTGCACCCATTGTGCACGGGTTCCACTCACAGGCTTTGAATAGTGTGGCAACCAGTTCCGCCAATCTTGTTCAGAACGTCCGTACGATCCACTCTCGTCTGTCACCTGTATTCTGCATGTGGTCACCAAACGTGACCTAGTCCTCATTCAAAGGTCGACAAACAAGTCGCTTCTCCTCAACTCGAGACGGAAAAAATAACACGTCGTACGTAGCGTAGCTGCACAACTAACGCGTCGTACGTTGCGCTGGACGTTAATCAATATGTACCGGCGGAGAAAAAGTTGAAAGCTAACCCAGGGGAAGATAAGTAGCTCCAAGAGAGAAACTATGAATTCAATCGACGTAATCAAGTAAGTAACTAAAGTAAGTAAGTAGTAGAATGGTTTACTAGCGCTTCAGCTATCAAGCTATTTCGCACAGGTCAAAAGTTAACATCACCTGGGTCTCGATTACCCAGAGTCTCAAATTAATCATCACCCACAAAGGGCGGGAGGTCTAGATGTCCAGCCACGCAGCCAGCTAAAGCTGGCTCGAAAGAAGCAGCGTTAACACCTCAAAGAGACGAAATGACAAGGAGGTAAAGGTGAAAAGCAACAGAAACGAAGACACTCTAACAGACTGACAAGTGGTCGCTTACACGGGACGTCGGCCGCCCGCCCGAGAGAGACAGAGAAGGGAAATGTAAGGAATCCTGCCTACATAATACCTTAACCCCACAACTGAGACCTGCAGTCAGACACCGCGAGTTCAGCGATGGGGCGCTCAGGATCAATCCCCCTAGGAGCGCAAAATTCCATAGGACTTCTGACGAGCACAGACACGTGTCAGAAGTCCCCCCTGAGGGGGCTCGACGTAATCACCTATAAGAATAGCCCTCTTTTATCAATCGTTAAATAAAGAGTCTCTCCTTCGCTGGACACTTCGCTCAACTGCGCGTAATATTTAATATCAATTCAAGTTTTGAAAGGAAAAATTATATATTGTCAAAAAAAGAGAGCTTGTCTATCGCTCACAAGCGTCTTGAATGGAATATGGCGTACAAAATGAAATCTATGACAAGCCTAAAATCTATGATAGAACGATCTCTGATCTAAAACCTATGATAGAACGATGCCCCCGATCTCTGCCGCGTCTACGTCGTGGGGGTACCCTGGCCTGCGTGTCGGCCGGATACCCGGCGTACTCCTGGGTCAGGCCAAACGGCAGAGGCCCCCCGCCCGGATTGCTGCCGGACGGAGGCTCCTTTCTTCATTTTTTTCGCCCAAGGGTTGGGGAACCTCGGCCTCCCCTACCTTCCACCTGCATCTTTTGGCTGCTTATCTTTCCCGGGACACCTTATGGCCTTCCCTCTTCTCACCTTATCTTCCTACTCGTCCTTCTCCTCCTGAACCAGAGTATCCATCCCAACCCTGGCCAACATCCCTGCTCAGTCTGCTCCCTCCCAGTTACGTGGTGAGGTTATTCGTTGCTGTGCTCCAGGAGCAAAGCCTGGACCCACAAACGATGCTCAGGCCTGCGCTCCATCCATTTATACTCCACAGACTGGATCTGCCCTACGTGAAGACAGTCTGACCCCCCTCCCTTCCGCCCTCCCACGCTGGCTCCCTCCCACCTCTCCGTCCTCCAGTTCAACTGCAATGGGAATCAATCCAGTGCAGTTGAACTCGCTGCTTACCTCGCCCAGAACGTCGTGGCGATTACCTGTCTCCAGGAGACCAAGCTATCAGCTGCATCTGGATCCCCAGTGGAGGCCTCGCTTCCTCGCCCCCGCCGTTCGGGGTATCCCAGCTCCGCTCGGGATACTGTAGCTCCATGGCGTCCTACACCTCTAGGACCGGACGATCCTCTAGCTCCGCCTGCCCCTAGTGCGGGGATCCCCTGTAGTCCGTCCAGCATCCCTTCGCCTGCCCCGCCTTCCCCACGTCCCTCAGCGTCTCATCATTGTGGGACAGTCCCGTGGAGGCTGCGGCGTTCCCGGCCACTCAGCATCTGACAGTTGCTGCGTTCAGAGCTGAGCGACTGGACGGATGCGGAGACGTGACATGCAATTAAATTGACAGGATCTCCTCAATTATGGCGCCTCTTGGAAATGGATTCGACAAGCTTGTGTCCAAATTTCAGTTTAAGTCTGTCAGCTAACGAAGTCTGCACTAGAAACGGCGAAATAGAATCGTAATAACGTGAATTATCCGTACATTCTTTCCTGGGAGGAGGAGACTGAAATTCCGACGCGAGGCTCAGCGCGCGCGTTTCTCCGCTTTTTGCCTCCCCGGCAGGCGGATCTTGATTGAATTTTCCCAGAGCTGACGAGCTGGACCTAGAAGCATCCGGACTGAGAGGTGGTTTGCTGTAATAACTCGTCTTATAAGACGTGGTCCTTGATGATACATCACATTTCTCTTCATGACACGAGGTTGAAGAACCTAGATCATCATCGTGAATCAAAGGGATTTCAGATATCGAGTTTGCTTTGATATGCGAAGGTGCAGGCAAAGAGGAATCATTGGATGAGGACGACGAGTATGGAGTCATAATCTGCCGCAGACTCTGATCACATGGCACCGAAAGATCGGAAGCGTCACACACTGCTGGACTTAGGAAGGCAGGAGAAACGCTTGACAAATTTACGCTGCCTGAGGTCGCGCGGTCGTTAGAAACGGAATCTTGACAAGAAATTTTCTCAGATATTGTCAAATCTGAAGACTGGAAGGCCTGGTTGGAAGTGTTCTCGGGTGTACCATGAATTTCATCAGAGGAAGAGCAATTAATTTCTCTGTTTTGTAGCTTCAAATTTTTAGAGCTTTCGAAGTTAGATGTAACCTCAGGGCTCCGAAGGAAGCTATCAGAGTCCAGCCAATGGCAGGTGACGAGATCAAATGTTAATTTATATGTGGAGCCTTTTGCTCTCCTAGAACACTCGGGAGTGGAAGTAACATTTCGTTCTTGACCATGAATTTTTTCAAGGCTCCGGCAGCAATTCTTAGAAGTAGAGCTCGAGTGCGGTTTTGTTTCCGTCGCTTTGCAGTTGCACAGAAAATGTTCTGAAGCTGAAGAGGTTTCAAGCGATGCGAAGTTTCCGACATCGTTTTCAGGATGAGCGAGGCAAGCCGGGATCATCGAACGTGCAGAGGCTGTCTTTCCTTCGATTGATGCATGCGTAATATTTCTTATTTCTCCTCCTTGGTCACTTTCGTCAAGCTCCTCACAGTTAAAGGACTCAAACAAATCCACTGATAAGTTTCGTTCTGCTTCATCACTTACAGTACACTTCCGATTCGTCATGTCAAAGTGTGAGTGACATGATGATAAAATCTCTGCTTTTTTTGGCGGAAGATCTGTAGTCGTTAAGTCTAAATTTCTAGAATATGATTGCCGACTGTTGCTTTCATTGCATCGGGAAGGAACATTATAACCTAAATCGTAAGTATGACAAGGCTCATCAAAATTTCGTATACTTTCAACAGAAGCGGTGGAATTTGCGTGCAGTGCTCCGAGTTTTTCGTTTTCCGTGTAGGTTCCTGAACAGGATATTTTATTTTTATCGATTGAGTTCTTATCGATGCTGCCATCAATGCTAAGCAATGAACAAATGCTTCGCTCTAACGCCGAAGGCAATAGTAGTTTTCCTTCAAAATTGTTCTCTTGTGGCGTATCTGAACTGTGCAGAGAATTATCATCGGTCTTACCGATTTTATTATTACTATAAAACTTGGTACGTTCTGCAAGAGATCCTCGAGGTTGAAATTCGTCAGAGCTGGCGTCACTTTCGGCATAACTTGCATCTTCTATACTATTAACGAAATCGATTAAAATGTCTTCCTTGGAATCAAACGAGCGATCATATGATGTATTATCCAATTTTTTAACATCACTGCGAGAAGCAACATTAGAGTCTCTCGATTTGTTCAAGACGCAGCGGTTTGAACTTGATCTTGGCAGTAAATTTGTAAACTCTTTCTTTGCGTCAACGACTTCTAAGTCATCACTCTCTTGTCGTTCTGTTATTGTCTTCAATTTTGGCGCAGTGCGTCGAGTTGAGTCTGATCGGCCAAGCCGTTTCCTTTCTTCAATATTAAATTTGATGAATCTGTCCACGACTAAAGAAACGTCATCATCATCATCGCTGTTTACCTGGACACAATCTTCATCAGCCTCGTCGAAAACAGAGAGGTCAAAATCCCCGCTATGTAAATCTCGCTCCTGTGTCGGGTTAAACTTGGACGCTTTTGTGAAGTTTGCGCTTTGCCAGTCACTTAACACTGAACTAGACTGGGAATTTACCACTGGAAATTCGCTGCTAGACAACAATGACGACTCGTACGTGCATGTGACATCATCTTCGAAATCACATTGTTTGCGTGCAGGTTTAGTACCAGAACTTGAGCCACGAAACTGAGAGTTTGAACCTGCAACTTGGTTAGCAGGTTTTAAAGCACGTCTCGTGATATCCGAGCTGCTTTTGATGCTTGGAATTTCAGTAAACTCGTCTCGACGACTCTCCCTGACGCTGGCGGAACAGAAAGGCGTTTTGTTTTCTTTCCCCTCGAAGGTTGAGTCCACGCAGAGTGCCAGGTTCGAGCCTACCTTGCCGAGCTTCAGCTGCGTACCGGGGAGCTTCTTATTTTTTACATTCCGCTTCCGTGACTGAGTCTCACTGGGTTTCTTCGTAGTTTTCTGCTTGCCTTTCCCTGAAAAATAACGACCGAAAAATCTGATTAAGGAAGAACATAATTTTAATAAGCACGAGAAGATAAACAAAACGAATAACATTTACCAACCCTGATCATGTTTGAAAGTAATCATAATTGGTTAGCTATTAAATGCTAAGCTTTTAATAAGTTTATATTAAAATTTTAAAAAGCATTTGTTCTCGTTCCGTACAGAAAATGCGATTTGGAATACAATCACAATTTTTTTCACAGAACTTGGTAAACATTTTTTTTTTTGTAATTCGAGTCATGATTTATTCGCACCAGAACCAAATGTTTCTTGTTCACGCCTAAATTACACTTTCTAAGTGATATACAGTCAAACTTATATAATCAGCGTCATGCGTACTGCGTCTATCGAGAGCTATACGAGCGTCCATTACGAGCTATAAGTTCCTCAGCAACACATTAACTTACCAACACACGTAGACAGTCGCTTAAAATATCGAGAATGGCTGCTGCCAACATTCATAACTCAGATACCGCTAGCAGAGTTAGAAATTCGCAATTTCTTCCCTCAATTAATAAATTGGCGAGATGAAGATTCTCGATTAGGGAAGAAAAACTTTCAAAGATAAACGTTAACAGTAAATCCTTTGACTGAATGTTCTGTGAATACATCAGGTGAAGTAGGTAAAGCGAGGAAAGTGTAAGGGAAGAGATAGCGTGAGGGAAGTGATAGCAAGAGGGCAATACCTGTAGAGGGAAGCAAGGGGGGCAGGGGGGAGCGTGGCACGCGTACCAACGACCGGCAAACTGAAGCGCCTTGCTGACGGCGTAGCTGCCTTCCCAGCCCAGCTTCTGCTGACACCACACCTGCAACGTCAGCAGCCTTGTATATCCTCCAGTCTAAATCAACACTTGATCTGCACCAAAGATATTTAATCGGCACCATCATCAAGCAGAATAAGAATATGGTACTTTAGTGCTTTTTAGAGAATTTCATCTTAATTTCTTTCATTCAATCTTTTTTTAGGGCTGAAATTTTGAAAAGCTTCAAGGACAAATGCTGGAAGGCTTCAAGGATAAATGTTGGAAGGCTTCAAGCTCAAATATAAGAGGAATAAAAAGCTCGCAGACCACGAAGTCGGCAACCAGGGGCTGCCCCCAGCCGAGGTCGTCCTTAAGCTGCTGAGGGATGACCAGCGGACGCTGGAACTCCGACACGACGTCCCGGAACGGGAAGCCTGGTGTCCGCACCGCGCGGTCGCGGATGGCCGCCTCTAAATCCGCCATGTCGCTGAAAAATAGAATTGTTTCAGCTAGTCTGCATAATTACAATTAATGGAAAGTCCTAGCATGGAGAAATAAATTTTCCACGCCACGAGTATGGAATGGATTTCCCTTGCTTATGAAATGGATTTAGACCATTTTTCGGTTGTACGTGGATGAAATATTAAAGGGATTCATGGATTTCAGGTCACAGAGTAATAATTTTTCTGGTGTAGCAGTCTTCTTTTCCGCGTAAAATTGCTGCATGTCACAGCAGAATATCACAAAACTAGTCGGGCTGATACAGGTTTTCCTCAACACTCCCGCAAGCTACACCAAATACAAACGTAACCACACATCCATCAAATGTACTACCCAAGGCTGTTTATGATGATAAACTAAAAAAACTTCAATGAAACTTCGGAAGGTGCCAATATACCAGCCAGGCTATAACACTGCTACTTGCACAGTCAGCAGCATTTGTTTCATATTTCAAATTGATAAATTTCATTACTAACTGGAAACATGAATATTTCAATTACAAATTTTCCTTCTTCATTAGCAAATCGCTCCCGAATAGAACTAACTAATGTCACAACTCACTCGTTTTTGCGAAACTTTGCTCGCGGTGCAGTCAAATCACGTGCACTGGAAGCCCACGTATCAAACCTGAAACGAAAATAGTTTCTGTGAACAATTTGAGCAACAAACGAATCTTCACAATCTCGCGACACAAATATTAAACCAATAGGTAATAAAACACCTTGTTCTCATGTACTCAGCCAATTGTCTATTGTAGCGCTTACCGCCGCAACCAGGCTTGTACGAGAGATTTTATGCCAGTTAATGAATCCGTGAACAATCATCCACTGGTTTTCCTAATCCACTATTTATCCGTAGATTTCTCATTTATCAACTAGCTGTAACTACTATTACCTAGCTGCTATGAACTAGCTGCACGTATGGTCGGTGATTTAGGCATATATAAAGGTACAAAACATATCATATGACTATAAACGTACTTCTGCAGCGCATCTACGCCTTCTCTGCCCCAGTGGGAGACAAGCTTGATGGCAGAGGCGACACCCACTCCTGAGACGCCTGCAGGGAGGTAGTCGCATCCCAGCAGCAGCGACAGCGCAATCAGGGCGTTACGGTCCAGGTGCAGCTTATGGTGGATGCGAGGGAGACTGGGTGAAGAGAGAACAGTTGATGAGAGGGAACAGGAGATGAGGAGAGGGAACAGGTGATGAGAAGAGGGAACAGGAGATGAAGAGAGGGAACATGAGATGAGAAGAGGAAACAGGAGATGAAGAGAGGGAACATGAGATGAGAAGAGAGAACAGGAGATGAAGAGAGAACAGGAGATGAAGAGAGGAACAGGAGATGAAGAGAGGGAACACAAGAACTCTGACATAGTGTGACAAATAGGAAACAAAATATTATGACAGGAACACGTTTTAGTGAATGGGAAAAATGGCTAGTACAGGATTAGGAAAACTGCAGCAAAAATGGGTAGGCATTAATTCCAAATTATGAAGAAAATCATACATGAAACACAGTATATCATTAATCAGTAATAATATTATATAATATAGGTTTACCATTTTCAAAGCAACTTACGTGTAAAATTCTGCTGTGGGGCGGTTGGTCCGCACTGAAAAATTCCGTAAGACACACGAGCCTCCATACAACAAGACGTCACTGTCCTCGGTGATCACAGCTTTCACTGTCTGCAAGAGTGACTTGATAAGAAATTTATCCACAACAGTGCTTGGTGTTAGATGTGGCACAGATAATTAAATTAGCAAATTCGTTTTATAGTGAAACACAAATATAATTAATTCCATACACATGCCAATACCAATCAGTTTCTGATATAGTTCAAATTTAATTAATTCCATCCAAATGTCAATATCAATTTTAGTTTCTGATGTAGCTCAAATATAATTAATTCCATACACATGTCAATAACAATTTCAGCTCCCGATATGGCTCAAATATAATTAATTCCATACATATGTCATTTAACAATTTTAGTTTTTGATAGAGCTCAAGTTTAATAAATTTCATACATAAGCCATACTTGAGAATAAAGCAAGGCAGCACATGTCGCCTCCGCCTCTCCAGCAGCCTGCACCCAGGGCACTCCTAGCAGGCGGAACAGCTCGCAGCACTTTGTGGTGCAAGATTGAAGATTTAATTAGGAACTTTAATTTAATAGAGAATAAAATGGGAAAAATAGAAGTTAAGGTCATATAAATCCTACCTGATTTGTATATGTATGTTCAAATACAAATTTCATTGAAAACCTGAAAGTAGGGATATCTTATTGACAATTTTCTTTTTGCATTTCTCTATTTGGCAAATCAGACTTTAGTGGAAAAGAAATAAGAAAATGAACAATGAGATATACTTTTTGGCCTTCAGTGAAACTTGTATTAAAAACAGCTTCTGCCTTACTATGCTGATATGTTCAAGTAGTATTTACTAATGAATAATAAAGATTAATTGAAGCTAGAAAAAATGCAATTGATACCGGTAAGTGTTTTTATATGGTTGAAATACAAAATAAATCAATATTTTAAAATTATTTTCAGATAACTAAAGAGCACAAATAAAAAAAATTCCATCTCACTTCTTTGAGTACTGAGTTAAACTGTCTTCTGCTGGGTTGTTTTGTGGAGCTGCTTCTGCCATGTCCCCGGGCTTGATTTCTTGCCTGCATGGTGCTTGCCTTGAGCTCGGGTGGAGCTCCTTCAATAACAAACACTGGCAACACGCCTACACTTAGCAAGCTCAGCGTACGAAACACCAAGTTCCTGAAAGAGCAAATAAAAAGAGATCAAATGAACAGAACAAAGAGTTAATTTTGTTGACCTTCTCTCTTTTGAGTTAGTTATATTGAAAACAAAGCAATCATCTTCTTTAAAACTATCACGTTATAATTAATCACAGATTTGTAATGAACTGTTCATAAGTATATCAATTTAAATGATTGAAAATATGGTTAGTCAATTTTTCAGAGACCTTGAACATTTATGAAAGTATGGCAAAGAGAGCTTCAAAAGGACCTTAAGTTGTGAGGTAGAATTTTTGATTACCTGAGATGAGGCTTGATGACCGAGTGCATGTTAACATTGGCTTGCGAGTCACAAACCCAGCATGACAAGTCAATGGCAACAGCCTGCCCAGCCAGTGATACACCAACATCTTCAACAATTGAAGGTGTAGAGACATCAGGAGATCTCGTCGGATTTGTAATGGTAAGGTTATCCAATTTGTCTTCTAAGGCTGTAAATTCATCAACCCTTTCCTCATGGCCTGATGGATGACATTTCCCATCAAGACAGGAGTTTCCAGGCAAATCTGATGCTGGTGATCCCAAAATAGGAGCCCCAGCACTTCCAATAGCCACCACTTCACCTGTTGAGCTCAGAACAGTCCAGAGGTTTTTCACTCCCATTGAGAAATGGTTTATGGTTTTGAGATTGATACCAAAAAATGTGATTACACTTAAATTGTAATATACAGCTAAATACAACCTGAAAATTAATAGAAAAATTATGATATTCTAAAGATATATATTATATACATAAGTAAGTATAAGATAGCAGAATAAGCTTGTTTAAACATGGGTGGTTAATGACAAGAGAAATCATTGATTCAAATTTTCAGGATCAAACAATATTCTTCAGATGACTCCCTGGAGTTTCTGAAGTTCCTTAAACCTGAATTTTGATCAACCAACATCATCTGAAGAATATTTTTTGATCCTGAAAATTTGAATCAATGATTTCTCAGGTCATTAACAACTCATGTTTAAACATAATATACATAAGTACACAAAATGCAATCCAGTTTCAACGAATGATCAATGAATGATCAATGAATGATCAATGGATAGATACCTACTATCACAACTATAAATCAATCCAATTTTTTCCAAAGAGAAGCATGAGAGAGGAAAGGGGTGCCCGGGTGAGGACTGAAGGTGTAGCAGACAGTACAAATCTTGGGCCTAAGAAACACTCTGAGGAACATTGTAGCTTTCCACTCTACCATTCATATAAAAATAATCACAAAACTGCACTAGATCTTTTTGATGCATAGCTAGGTTATCTTATCACAGTACAAGAGCTTTCAAAGTAATCTACTTGTCATGTATATGCAAGTTAACAATAAAATTTATGTTTTCAGTCAGCAGCTTTTTTCCTGAACCATCAACTGAGCCGGGAGCCCTGCTACCAAGTAGCTAAGCCTAAGATACTCCAGCATTTTGATTTCATTTTTGTTTAAAATATTGCAGTGAAAGGTTGTGCAATGCACAAGCCTAACCCATTCACCGGCAAGCATTGAAATATCCAGAAATTAAAATTTCAGAAACCACTTCAAGAAAGTAAGATGTATTATACATTTACACAAATTATTTAGGTATTCATAATTCATATGTATTTTTAAGAATTTTTGTACTGGAGGTTTAAATTGCACTTGAAGAAAAATTTGCAAATGCAGTCATAACATAAAATTAAAATATATTTTTTATAACTAAAATTTAGTTTATGCAGATGAAAAAATTAATAACCTTGAAAGTTAATTTAGTTCAAATCAATTAATTTACATTAAAAAACTACATATATAGCCTATTATACTTTTGCCCTTTAAAAAAATGCAGAAAGAGACAAAGAGTGTCGATTTTATTGTCCAAGTCAAAACTTTCATTTAAATGCTCATGTTTTAATTTTTGGACAAGGCAGGTGGTGATGCTATGAATGGAACAATGATCAGATAATTAGTGATTGACTGAGGTGTGATAAAGAAGCCTCAAACACAAACAGGAAGCCGTGGTAGGTCTCTAAACCATCTCTTTGTGTTTGTGAGGCAATTTCAAGAGGGCAGAGGCCTGTGACCACCTTCTAAAGTAATAGCCCATGAAAGGGTTAAGGCCATCCAGATTCATTGGAGTTGGAGCTTTGGAGGACTTCTTTATTCATGTGTTGGCATGACCATTGAGCATTGACCTTTGACCACAGCACCACTATCATGATACCATCAAGTTCATCAACCATGTCAATGATGTCATGCCTAGTCCAAGAAAGGTGACAAACATTGCTCATTTAAAATCAGACAAGCAAATTCATGGTTTCACCCGCCTTGTTCGCCCTCAGCATAGCCGCCCCCATTAGGTTACACGCGCAGATGGTGCACCCCAGGTGACTGCAAACTGAAAGGCTAATGGTAGCACTCAGGATTGAAAAGGCCCGGTCGGTCCGCCCAGCAACTACACAAATGCAGTATGCAAATGCAGCAACTACACAAATGCACTTGAAAAAAAAAGTATCAAATGCAGTCGTAACACAAAATACATTTTTAGCGCATTTACTCATTTATGGAAAAAATGCACTATTGTGCTTGCCATGTCCGCATGTCCGTCTGTCTGTCTGTCCATCTGTCTGTCCATGACCTCAAGTTTTTGTTGACAAGAAAATGCGCTCTCTGTCCCTCACTGCAGTGAGTACTGAGTTATATTTTTTATAACTAAAATTTAGTTTATGCAGATGAAAAAATTAATAACCTTAAAAGTTAATTTAGTTCAAATCAATCAATTTACATTAAAAAACTACATATATATTAATACTTTGGCCCTTTAAAAATGCAGAAAGAGCATCAATTTTATTGTCCAAGTCAAAATTTTCATTTAAATGCTCATATTTTAATTTTTGGACAAGGCAGGTTGTGATGCTATGCATGGAACAATGATCAGATAATTAGTGATTGACTGAGGCATGTTAAAGAAGCCTCAAACACAAACAGGAAGCCGTTGTAGGTCTCTTTGTGTTTGTGGGGCAATTTCAAGTGACCTGTGACCACCTTCTATGGTAACTTGCCCATGAAAGGGTAAAGGCCATCCAGATTCATTGGAGGACTTCTTTATTCATGTGTTGGCATTGATCATTTACTTAGGCTTCAGTATGCATTTTTACCTGCTTAATGAGCCTTCAAGGCATGGCCTGTTATATTGTGGAATAAAATGTTAGTTTTTAACCAGGTTTGGTTCAGATAAATGTCAGCATTTATTAGCAATAGTGACAAACCACAGATTTATTGAATTGATTATTTTTTAATTTCCTCTTCTGCTCAAAATTTATGTCAATATCCTATGAATGACAATACTGGAACTGGTATCCTTGATACTGTACTGGTCAGTCTACTTATGAGGCTATAACTACAAGTGACCAGCAAACTGAGCAAAGTACTCCACTGACAGAAGTCCCCCTAGCATGGTCTCCAGTTCACCTTGACCTTGGTATGTCTCCAGTGGCCAGGATTGGAATTTTTCAACTCCACATCATGGTGGTGTTTGGTGAGAATGTAACAGCCACAAGATGCCAGTGCCAAGTGTGCATCACCACACAAATGGAGAAAGAAGACCTGACACATCATATCAAAGTGAAAGAGGCAAAGCAGAGTTTTTTTAGACTCTTCCTTTAGCACAAGTTATTTTCAAAAATTTCAAGTCCTATAAATACAATTAGACCAGTAAAGTACTGTGGATACCACTCGGGCTTGAGCCGCTTGGCACTAGGTCTCAATATCATAACTCTCATTTACTCTGATACCATGAGGCATGAGCATGATACACTCTCATACCATGATATGCAGCCCTAAATTAGGGCTGCAACTAGAGCTTCTTGCCATTTACGGAACAGCAAGATTTCCGCAAGATGAATTACATCCTATTTAATTGATAACAAAAGTGCACAATCTGGTCACAAGATTCCAATTGTATTCAAAATTTGGCATGTTGGGGCCACAAGATTTCAGCTAGCTACAAGTAGGAAAATTCCAATCGTGTCATAATATAAAAAAGCCAGCATTATCATATATAAGAAATTCGCTTAAGTTTTGAGTTGGTAAGGAAATTAAAAGTGAGTGAACTATGCAGAAAATTGCATGTGCAATTCACACTATGCAGAAAATTGCAATATGCACCTGGATTGCACCACAACACCACTCGGCACTCACCACTGCTGGCACTGCACCAGCACCATGTCATACCAAGTGCAAGAAAGGTGACAAACATTGCTCACTTAAAATCAGACAAGCAAATTCATGGCTCATGCAAAATTGCAAATCAACTGATAGGCTGATTTGCATGAATTAGGTTTAGTTTAGGTAGGTACTTTCAGTTGCAACTCAGGAAAATATTGTGCAAAGTTTTGCAACTCAAGTCTCAACAAGTTAAGTAGGTATCATTTAAAGATCTTAAGTCTTCAGAAAAGTGAGTGGAAACTGGAAACCAGAGAATTTATTCTATTTATAATCTAATTATTTTTTTTTTTTTGTTATTTGAACAAATAACAATGATAGGCCTATTTCACTTATTTGCAGACATTTTCAGGTTGATAACTAGGTTGCCAAATGACATTTTTTATATATTATGGTGTTTTGAATTTGAATTATTGATTGAAATCACCTTCATTCATTGTTCATTCAAAGGATAGCATCACTTGAAATTTTTAAAGGACGTGATTGGAAACCTCGAGTCAACTCAGTCAAGCCATAGCGGGCCAGCGGCATAGCCAGCCTATTAGGTACTGTCTATACAAGGCAATAATAGGTCCCAAACTTCGTCAGAAGGTCCCTTCATGCCGCTTGCCCATTTCCAGAACGGCAGCTGATCATTGGCGTTCTCATTTTTGAACCGAGAGGGCCTTTTACAGTTTACAGAGCAGAGCTACGGAGTACGGTATTCGTCAAAACACAGGACGGGTGCACACTGCACAGATCCTGCCGAGTGCCGAACGGTTGTTTGAAGAATGCGCCAGATTTACAACTCTGACTCTGAGTCTCTGACTGCGACTTCGTTTCCGCGGATTCCAATGTGGCCCTTGATCCAGCAAAACACAACCCCGTCAAGTCCCATGACCATTAACCTTTGTATTTCGAAGACATGATGCGATGAGACGAGGGTATTATGGCGGGCAATCCACAGGATACAATTTACGGATGAAAACCAACGTTTTTCAGTAAAATCCTCTACTTATTACTTTGGGTATTCTTCTAAAATGAGGAAAATTTCATATTACGTGCAACTTGGTATAGAAAAAGGCTTCAAATCACAGCTTATCGAAAGCAAAAATATATCTCTAACCCTCCCCCCCATAAACACAAACATATATGAGTAATGTTCAGAAACTTCATTATTCAGACAATACGGCCCTTACATTTTTATGAGTCTATATAGGCGGCTAAAGCTTTTTTCTCCTTCTTTTTCAAAGTTGTTGTTAGCTCAACATCCATGCTCAGCATCAGCCTGTCATGCTCCAGCTGATATTATCAATTCCAGACTGTATGGAGATTACGCGGTAAAATTTTATTAAATTAAAAAAGTGGTCATTACGCGGTAAAATACAATTTAATTTGTGAGTGTTTGTGAAGAAGAAAAATTTCTATGCCATTGAATTCGAGCATGACTATTCAAAGAAACCAGCAGGCGTGTAAACTCGATTTGAACTTTTAAACAGGAGAGTCACTTGAAACGT